AAATATAAATATTCAATATATTCATATTTATTAAATATAAATATTCAACATATTCATATTTGATTAAATATTTAGATTTACATTTATTAATATTGAAAAATCTGATAACACATTACAAGAAATTATTTTTTCAGCTGGTGTTGCAGGGACTTTTATAGGATTCCAATCTTCCTTGTCTTAAAAGATATAAAAAATAATTTGAGAGGAAATGGAAAGAAATTTTATTTTCATGATCCTGATAGCCTAGAAAGGAACATATATTTAAATTGTAATATACCGTGTATATATATATATATATATATATACAATGTATATCTGCATAGATAAAAAATTTAAAGGCTTCAAACTTTTTTTTCTATCTTCTACCTCCTTATAGGAGGCCATTAGCTTTGCTTTGGGAAAAAAAAAAACACTATTGCCATTTTAATGCCTATTATAATTATCTCCATAGGAAAAATTTCTAGATGTTGAATTTGGGGGTCAATAATACAACCATTTATAGGTAAATCTCTTAATATAGCGTAATCAAGAATGGAGAAGCAAGAATCCAATGTATTCAGTTCTGATATGAAGCTAGTAGGTGATCTAATCCATATCTTCATAAGAGAAAATCTCAAATCAATTCAAGGTGGGGGGCAGGAGACTGAGGAAGTGGGAGAGGGGAAGAGGGAGGGTGATGGGGGATCATGGTGTTGGGACACTTCTTGGGGGCAGGACACAATTATAACAGGGACTTTACCTAACAAATGCAACTTTACCTAATTCTTATACCCTCAACGAATCTGAAACAATTAAAATATATATATATTTTGGCTTGGCACCTGTAGCTCACTGAGTAGGGCACCAGACTCATACACCAAGGCTGGTGGGTTCAAACTCAGCCCAGGCCTGCCAAACAATGACAACTGCAACCAAAAAAGTAGTTGGGCATTGAGGCAGGTGCCTGTAGTCCTAGCTACTTAGGGTGGCTAAGGCAAATTAATTGCTTAAGCCCAAGAGTTTGAGGTTGCTGTGAGCTGTGACGCCACAGCCCTCTACCCAGGGCAATATAGTAAAATTCTGTCTCAAAAAATAAAAAGTATATGTATATATATTTTATCAAATTGTACCCTGTGACTTGCTACCAGCCGTAAGGGATAGTGTCTATTTTAAAAAATAGACCTAGGACAGCGCCTGTGGCTCAGAGGAGTAGGGCGCCAGCCCCATATGTCGGAAGTGGTGGGTTCAAACCTGGCCCCTGCAAAAAAAAAAAAAAAAAAAAGACCTAAAATCATGTAAAATTATTTATATGTATGTATAATTTATATATACTTAGATGACATACATACATGTGTATGTAACTAGATGTAACTTAGTTACATACACATACATAATGGTGGATAATTTACACATATAACCACATGTGTGTATGTACATGTGTGTTATAATTTTTATTGCTTTATCATAAGCAATGTTAAAAATTTTATAACTTAGTCTACATTTCTCTTTCCCTCTCTCTCTTTTTATTTTTTTACTGCGAATTTTATGTCCTTTGTTGGACATAAAATCCATAGGCTATTCATATTTTTCTTTTTAATCTGTAACATTTCCTGTGTCTTAAAACTAAAACTTTAATCAATTACATGTTGCCAGTCTATCTCAGTAGAAGCTAAAATAAATTTAGCTATATTTTATTGGTTGCTTTTATTAATATATGTACACTCCCACATGAATGTATCCAGGTATATGCGTGTGCATCTATGATTACTTATACACTTTGTCTTTTATTTCTTTTTTTTCGTGGTAACTTTGACCAAGTAAAATCTACGTGGAATTCTGAATTTTCCACCTGGGCTGAGAACATTAATTCAGTTAGAAAAAATAAACCCTGGGCAGCGCCTGTGGCTCAAAGGAGTAGGGCGCTGGCCCCATATACCAGAGGTGGTGGGTTCAAACCCAGCCCCGGCCAAACACTGCAAAAAAATAAAATTAAATTAAAAAATAACCCCCCAGTTTAGTGCTCTTCTAAGTTCATGGCGTCCATAAAAAATCTACCGTCAGTATTTAGGAGTAACTTTGAGTTGCAGGATCCCACAAAGTTTGAACATAATTTAAGAGAAATTAAATAAAGTCGACATGATTTTCCCTTTCAAGGGATTTCAACACCTTAAACCATAGGAAGATGAATGATCTGATTCCACAGCCACATACTTCTTAGAATCTGTTTGCTCTTTGATGTATAGACAGCCGGGGATGGAGAAGTTAAAAAGGAGATGCAGAAACAGTATTTCCCATCCCGTAGCAACTGACCATGTACCTGGAACATAAAAAGCACAGTTATCCCTGCAAATCAGAACAGGTGGGTTCAACCTTTGTGCTAAGGCGGGTGCAGAAAATAGAACCGGAATGGC